GATGAAAACTGCCAAGGCCATGGCAGTGGCCTCGGTGAAAGATAAACCCCCTGACCCCCTGAATTTTGGAGAAAAGCTGGGAAAGGCCAGCCCAAGACTCCGCAAGCAAAAGTGTGGAAAGAGTTGTTAGCTGCCTGTTTAAATGAAGAGCAAATCAATAGACTGCCCATCAATGCCTTGCAAGGGCTGAGGCTAAACACTGTACCAAAAGGGCAAGACCAAAAGCAGAGCCTTCTGCACCACCAACAGTGTCACCGGAGAGAGTTTCTGTCCTGAGGGCAAAACTGTCAACACTTTCCCAGGCACATGCGGGGCCGCCAGCCTTTACCCTGCCTGATCATGTGGCGTAGGGAGTCCGGCCGGCCCAACCCCCCAAAAAAGGGGCCACAATGCAGGCAGTAGCAAGCTGGGGACCGGTATCTAAAGTTAATATTGGCCCCTTAATTTGTATACCTGTACAGATTCAATTAGGTAAAAGTAAAAAGTCAATTGATATGCTATTAGACACAGGTGCCCAGATTTGTATTTTAGATTCCGTAGATTGGAAGGGGGAGAAAGGAACCCCTTATCAAGTAATTGGATTTGGAGGCACCACGACCAGGACATCTAGTCCAAGCAACCTTTGCATTACCTAATGTCTCTAAGCTAACAGCAGCCGCAGTAATACTTAAAGGGGGACCACATTTACTGGGACTGAATGTATTACGAGGACAGCGGTTTGCCCTTGAACAAGAGAATTGTCAGTTTGGGTGTGCAGTGCCTCACCGAGAACCAGAAGAAATGTCTATAACAGCTGTAACTCAATGTAGCATGATCCCACTAACCCTGCCTCCCACGAAAGGAGTACATAGACCCCAGTATCGAACTCCCCCCGAGGCCACCCATCCTATCCAGTGTATCATAAGTCAGCAGTTAGAATATGGGATCTTATCTGAACCCACTCCCCATATAACAATCCATTGTGGCCAGTGCGCAAGCCGAATGGAGTGTGACGGTTGACTATTAACTTTCAAGCTTTGAATGCTAATACTGACCCCTTAACAGCTGCTGTCACATCACTACCAGCCTTGACAGAAAGCATCCAATTTTATGGACCTGTGTGGATGGGATCTGTTGATATCAAAGACATGTTTTTTGCTATTCCCATCCAGGAGAGCCACTGGCCAGTATATATTTTACGTGGATAGGGCAGCAGTATTCCTACACCGTGTTGCCCCAGGGGTGGATACACAACCCCACCCTGGCAAATGGGGTTTTAGCTACAATAGTTCATGAAGTTCAAGAAAAGCACCCCGACGTACATACGTGGTAGTATATAGATGATGTCATGGTAGGCAGTCAAGACAGAGAAGCTGCCATCAAGGCCTTTGAATCATTAAAAGAGAAAGTGCTTACCTTTGGATTCACGCTGTCTGGACAAAAAATCCCAAAGGTCGAGCCCCAGTGTGAATTTCTAGGAACAGAATGCCAGAATGGGGGGCCCACAATACCAACCGAGGAGCTGCAAAATATAGTGGAGACCCCGACTCCCACTAACGTGAAAGAACTGCAAGCCCAATTGG